GTTGAGAATGTGGCTACTGTGAGTGATCTACCTCAGAAATCACTTTCAAGAAGAAAGAGGTGGCATCTGAAGTTTGTAGACAGAACTGTGTCCTGACTCAACTGATGAATGAGTCTTTGAGTTATTTGCAAAAACAAGAAAATAAAAACAGCCCACATAAAAGCTTTAGTGAACCACCACCACTATCCACTTCTGCGGTTATTAATCCAGCAAGCCAGGGAAAACACCTCTCTCTCCTACCCATAACACACACACACACACACACACACACACACACACACACACACAGAGTCATGCCCAATGCATTTCGACAATTGGTGTAACAATTAACATCCTCCACGGCAATGGTTATCTGTGCCATTCTCTCTGCCTCCCCATTAGACACAACACAGACCAAATCATCTAAAAGTTCTGCGAGTGAGCAACTACAAAGGAAGAAGTGGACCTTGCACAATCTCTGGCCTGACTCTCCTCGTCTGGGGACCCCTGCAGTGCATGCCACCCTGTCCCATGGTGGCCAAGTGCTTCATAGAGAGCAGGCCTGAATCTCACGGACCACTCCGCCTTCAACCTGGAGAAGGCCTGTCTCCTGGCTCTTGTCCCAGATCTCGTGCCTTTGTCTATCACTGTCTCTGTCAATGTGGTGATTTTAAACTTTCATTCCTAAAAGACGCGTATTATATAAAAAATGTTTTAAGTGCCTCAGGGTGTTTTGCTCCTCATTGCTTCATAAAAGTGACATTAATAGCCAGGGAAGAGCTCTGCTGAGTGCAATTACAGAGGATGTTTCAGGTATGAAAGCTGTTTTGAGCCTGCTAATGTTTCCTAATTACAGGCCTTTTGGTAGAGAGAGAAAAAGATAAAGAGTGGGTGGGAAGCTGAGGGTGGGGAGCTCTGACTTATCTTAGTGGTTTACCTGGAGAGGAAAGGGGTGGGGAAGGGAGGAGGGAGGGACAGGAGGTCAGAGGCCACCAGCAGGGAGGTGGGCCTCTCTCAGCTAACAAAGTGGTACTAATTCCTGGGTAGCAGCTCAGGAAAAAGATACATTCACTCACTTTCCTCAGGGCAAGTACTCCCAGGGAAAAGAAAATGAAACCTTTCACAGACTCAGCCTGAATCCAAGGATCCCACAGCAACTCAGCCTGGGAATTCCTTTCTGAATCAGTCTCCCAAGACACTGTGGTAGGCAGTGTGTCATTGGGAAAACCAGTGGAGCAGTCATACCAGGAGGACAAGCCTGCAGGTCATTTGTGAACCATGAAACCTTGGCCCATGGACCAGTTAGCTCCATGCCTTAGTTTCCTCAGCTGTAATATGGGGCTTAATGGGGATTATTGTATGCCTGACTATGAATGCCTTTGGCCCATCCTTTGGTGCTTGACACGTCCCTGCTGCCACCTCTTCATCCTTCTGGTAACTATGTCCTCATTTCCTCTGGGGAATTAGGACCTCTTGACCTCCATTGGTGTGCTCTGCACAGCACAGGATAGGCAGAGACCTCAGTGTGGTCTGCTCAGCATGGTGTGATTTCTGGTGACAGAGTTTGGTTCAAGCTGGGCACTGGATTCCAGCCAAGCCATTCAGGCCCATTCAGAGATAATCCCAGGCTTCTACCTGAGGGGTCAGAAGGAGGTATTTGTTCTTCCTCTGATGGGGAAGGAAAGGGACAAAGGGTGGAGCTCCCGCAGTCATCTTATCACTAAGAGTAGCACTAGCATGGAACTGGGACTACGGTAGGAGAGAGAGGAGAAAGGGCTGGGATGAGGGATGGAAAAGAACAGAGCAGAAAAGGTGAGGTGGATGTGAGGAGAGACAGATTGATTTTAAGGGTCTGGACTACCCAAACATAAGGCCACACCAGTCCCTGGACCATTCTATGAGCCAAGGTATTTTTTCACAACTGAGTTGTATGTCACTGTCACTGGCCACCAAAGATCCCTGAGTGATGCACAGTACAGGAGAAGAATGGCTTTCAGCATTTGGCCACCAAGCTCCCTTGTAGTGGCATCAGACTAAGTACAATCAACTCCTCCACCTCTGTCCTCTTTCCCCTAGCATGCCCCAAAATTCAATGAGAAATTCCATTCACAAAAACCATTTTGTCCATAGCTAAATTTCTTTTGCATCTCTCTAATGTAGCCCAGGCTCTTCTGTCTTAATTGGCACAACTGAAACATCCAAGGAAGAAAAGAGAAAATGTAGCCCTCCAGAAGGTGGGTAATACACTAGCATCTCTTAAGTGTATCAAGGAAAACTTTCTACTGACACTGCCTCACATGTGACCCAGTTACTTCCCTGGGCAGAGGAGGAAACCAGGGCACAACACATCTAAATAACAGGCCCCAAGTCACCAGGCAGGAGCAGCAGAGGTGAAAGGCAAGCCAGTTGACTTGATGCCAAGGCCCGGGGTCTTAACTGATGCTCCCTAAAGTTCTCACCCTTCAGCCCAAATAAATTTTAATGGATTTTGCTTGGCCTTGAGCCAACAAGGTATTATGAAAATGACAATGACAATAGGTTTTGCCCTGAGTGCCCTTAGCTGATTCCCGTGAGGTAGGCAGCTGGCAAAGGAGCCTGGAGGATCTGATGGGGGTTAGAAGGCAGCCAAGGCTCATCAAGCAGGCCCAACAGTTCCCAAGTGGACCAGCAGGCAACACTGCACCTGAAGAACTGAGTGCATCCACACTTCTGGGTATTTGTCCCGTGAGGGAAGTAGTGTGAGACGAGGACACCCAAGGGCTGCTTCCTTCACAGTGGCATCTGCACAAGCTCAGTCCTTCATCCGCAAATCACCCATCCCTGAAAATATGTCCAGTACTCTGAGATCTGCCTGGAGAAGCATCAGGAGGGGACACTCGTTCCACTGCAACTGTCTTAGTATGATCTCCCACACATGCACCTGTAGACACACACACACACACACACACACACACACACAAATATACATAGGACACAGACCTACACACATTTACCTATGTACATAAAAATATATATCCATACACATAGGCTTATATATATGTGTATATATGTATACAGATTGGACATACTTTCATGCATATATAAGCATATATATATACACACAAAGATTTGCACAGGTAAACACACAGATACATGTGCACAAATGCTTATATATTCCACACCTGTGTCACAGGCTGTGAAGGTAGTTCCCGGGGGCAGCACAGACAAAGGTGCAAGCCTGTGGAGCACTCTCTGAAGATAAGAACTCATAAGGACATTCACACTTAGGCCACTAAGTGGCCTTTTAAGGTACAGGAACTTATATACAGTGGGGCCATTAGTGCCCAGGTACACAGAGGAGAAGATCCCCCTAACTCAGCTCTTCAAAAATAAAAGTAAAAAAGAACTCTGGGATTTCCAGTATGCAAACCAAATAGGTCTGGTTATCAGAGAGGCCTGGACTCACTTTTCTATCCAGCTCCATTTGCATCCCTGATTCTACTCTTTATTGACAACCAGCTGGGCATTGAGAGGCCTACAGCAAACATTTTATTGAGTTACAATAAATCGGATCTGAGCATCTCCTAAATTCAGGGGCCTAGACTAAAGAGACAGAAACGTATCAGGAATAATCTAGTCCTCACCCATTTATTGAGTAACAGACACTGGAACCTGTGCTGGGCACCAGGGACACAGCAATCAAGCTTAGCGATCCTCTGGTTGGTGCAAGAGATCATATCTGCCTTACAGAGTGAAGGGTTGTCTGGGAGAAGCTGGGCACTCTGGGCCTGAGGAAAAGGGCACTACCCCAGCATGGGGAGAAGAACAGCCAGGTCCCAGAGGGGATGAGAACAGAGCCAACACCTGTGTCCAGTGTTAGGGAGAAGGGCAGGAATGGAGCAGGCCAGGCAGTGTCTGGAAACTGGGGCAGGCTGTGGAAAGAGCCATGCGCCCATAGAGGCTGCCATTTACGGAGTGCTGCCATAAACCTGCACAATACTCTGCTCTCTGCTGCCTTGGGATCGTGAGGGGCAGTCTGAGAAGGGGTCCCCAGGAGCTTCAGTGAAGCTCCTCAGAACAACCCGGAGCAGGAGCTCAGCCCTCCCTGGCAACTGTTACCTTGGGATGTATTTGGCACTTTTTCTCTCCGCTCACCAGAGAGCCTCTGCTTTAGATTAAACCTGAAAGCCTTAAACTGGATGGAGGGTGGGTGCCTCTTTATAAAGCAGCATTTTGCAAATATGTTTGAGTTTTGACATGTGACATAATGGTCAGCTTCCCCTAAGAAAACCGAGAGTGATTTGTGGGTGAAACTTGGGTAGTTAACCCAACCCCTTCCCTTCCCACATCCGGCAGTCCTCAAGTACAGCAGTGAAGGTACCTAGTTGGTCCCATGAAAGGAAAAGTCCTTTCCTTTAGCCTGTCTCTCTCTGGAGCCTGAGACATAGGCTAAGCACTATGGACAGGGTCCATTGCAATGGCAGCTGGGTTCCCATAGGCTCAGTGATGTCACCTCTGAACAGGGTAAACCCAGGTACCCCAAGCTTGTCCACACAAAGCAGATGCTCATGGCATCCTAACTGCACAATCAGAGGCTATGACCCACCAACACTTTGGTCCACGGGAGAACAGGGGCTCCTCAGGACTGCTCTACCTTGTAGCCACAGGTCTGATCAGGTTTATGAACACTGAAGGAATGAACCAGAATGTCTCCCTAAGGCAAGACCCAAGTGAAAGAGCGCTCAGCCCTTCGGAGCTCCACCTTCCCCTACATGCCCTCACTCTCTGCAGCACTGCAAATCTCTGATCTGTCCTGGGGCTCCCATGCCAAGCACCTCATTTGTGCTCAGCCACAGCCCAAGTGGCCTAGGGGCAGGTCTCTATGAGAACCGTGTCCAGAGATATTCTATAGCATCAGCCTGGAGAGGAGCTCAGCTAGGAGGTGCTGGCGCTGCCTCGCTGTGGATGGGTAAGGGGCTCCTGCTCTGGCACTGCTCTAGGGAGGCTCACACTGGACTGAAGAATGACAATCTGACACTCACCCCGGAGGCCGGGTTAGCTGTCCATCCCAGCTCTGCAGTAGCCGTCCTGGTGTCCATTAATGTTTCTGCAAATCAAAAAGAAAAGAACTCATGAGTCAGAAGGATTTCACACAGTGGCCCCTGTGCTTGTGAAGCTACTCATGAGAGTGAGTGTCAGCGCTGGCAGAAGCCTGGGCTATCCTCCAGCCCAGGCTGCCAAGCTTGCCACGGACCTCAGGTCTCAAACAGTGCTTTCTCCCCAGAGACTCAAGCCAGTCTGTGCAGCATGGAGGCCCTGCCTCCTACCACTGTACCCCAGATCACCCCACCAAGGGCCTTAGCCACCGCCCTCCAGACCAGTAGCCATATTTAACGTTTTCCTGGGGCCATTCTAACAGCCCTCCTCCCCGGCAATCCCCTGCCTCCCCCTCAGGCATTCATGTTGATGCCCCTGGACAGCTTCCCATCTACTCCCCAAGAGCTCAGCTTTCCCACAGGTCCCTTGGCCCCTACCTCCTTCTGCAAGGCTCTGCAAGGGACTCACAAAGCCTAGACAAGGCCGTGCCCCAAACCCTAGCAGCTTGTTCTCACTTCCCGCTTCTTGTTGCCCTACATTAATAAGTACACACACACATAGGTCATTTCTCTACCAATTTGATAAGGCAGCCTCCACAGTGAGATAGTTTTTCCTGAGGGTGTCACTCAACGTGCTGGTTCTTCAGGCTCTGCAGGACTTGATTCTTGTTACTGGTAGGTGCTGCGGTGCCGTCACCACAAAACTTCTCAGGCTAGAACCCCAGTCTCTGTATCTTACAGGAACCCACTTTTGCCTCAGAAGTTCCTGTGCTCCCCCACAGCCATTCCCTTTGTTTTGATCTTTCTGAAGAGGCAAGTACTGGGCACATTTCTTCAGCCCCCCCCAGGAATGTCCCAAGTGTCCCTTTATAGATTTTGGAGACAAGTTCCTTTCCAGATATACACTTTGCAAATAATATCTTTCCCACTCTGTGGCTTACCTTCTCATTTTCTTAACAATGTCTTTCAAAAACCAGAAGTTTTAAACTTTGGGCAAATCATATTTGTTATTTTTTTCTTTTAATGACTTACTATATCTGAGAATCCTACATAACCCAAGTTTGCAAAATTTTTCTCCTACTAATTGATAAATCATTTTGAGTTAATTTTTTGTATAAAATGCAAGATATGGGTCATCGTACTTTCTTTTTTAATGTGACTATTCAGTTGCTCAGATGAAAGACATCTTTTGTCTTGTTTCATTTTGTTTTGCTTTCCTAAAAAGTAGCATTTCGTTATGCTGCCCAGGCTGGCTTTGAAGCCTTGAGTGATTTTTTTGCCTCAGCCTCCACAGTAGCCGGTACTATAAGCATGTGAAACTGTGCTTACAGAGGGGCATCTTTGAAAATACAGAGTGCTGCCGTAAATGCTGGAGGAGGGGCCGTCCCTGGATTCACCCGGGTATGCACCAGAGAAACGCACAAAGCATCTTAGCTGCTCAGGTGCTGAACAAATGGAAAAAGGTAAAATATAAATGATGTATGTGTTCTGATGTTTTGCCTGTGTCCTCCCTACCTCAGGAAGAGATGTGGACACAGAAGGCCAAGGTACAATATCCTGGACCCTTCGGAAAACAAAAGGGCTCCTGGCATAGATTTAGTAGCAGCCACCCTCCGCAAGGCTGAGAGCATGAAAATAGAGAACAATGAGGAGCTGTGCTGAGGAAAACGGCTCCCTGCTCGCCCACTGCTGAGTGCTCAGCCCAGGGGAGCCGCCTGCTATGGAGAACAGGGAGCCTGCCAGGACCAGAGCGCTGCACACCCCAGTTCCAGCTCAGAGAGAGCAGCACAGCACACGCCCCACCAGCTGCTGGAGTACAGGGACCCGAGCAGGACTTATGCAGGGGGCCCACGACCACCCCACAGGACTGCAGGCAAGACCTAGGGCAGGCACGGGGTCTCCGTGGGCCCCTGGGGGGATGGAAGCCAAGAAAGCCACCAAGCTCCTCCCGCACAGCCTGACACTCTGCATCCTGCCTGTAACCCAGAGGGTATTGATGCTTCTGCCTCCTGGGGAGATGGGGCCTCAAATAGATAGTTGCCATAAATAGACAAAGCTGCATTTTCTTGCTAGGTTCAGGTTGGCCTAAGAGTGTTCCCCCAGACGCACGAAGGGACTGACAACTGGCGCAGACTCCTTGCGTTTGTTTTCCCTCCACTCTTCCGACAGCTGGGGAGGCCGGCCCTGCGAGGAACAACCCGCCCTTTCCCCTCAGCTCCACTTCACAGCACTAGTAATGATCCTAATGACAAGCCAGATTTGCATAACTCACTTCTCAGAAGACACTCCATGAGACTCTGCAGAAATTCATCTCCATGATTATTAAAATGCCTGCCAGGTGGGCCTGAAGTAGGGGCAAATACATTTATGTGGCAGAGTTGGGAGCCGAGGCACAGAAAGGCGCAGTTCTCTATAATGTCACACAGCTTCCCACCCTGATGGCGAAAGCCGGAAACCTCAGCACAAGGCCCGCCAGGCACATCCCGGCTTGCAGGAAACTCTGCTACAGCTCTGGGGTTGGCATGGAAGCCCTTGCTCATATAGCCAAGAGATCCCAAAGACCCCAGAATCAGGCACCTCCCACCCAGCCATAGCTCTTGCTGAAGGAACAGTGAGCAGGCCAGGGTACCCGCAGCACGGGAAACAGGCTCCAGAAGCAAAAATAAAAATCATGTCCCAAGCCTTTCCAAGTACTCATTTTTTCTGTTAACTTCAGAAATACAATCTCAGGCTCCATAATAGTCATCATCGCCTACTCCATGCCTGCAATAGAATCTTTTTATAAATAATGTTTTCCGCACAGTCTATTGGGCAGAAGTTGCAGCAGAATCCATTTCTTTCCATCCTGCCCACCGTGGAGACAGAAAACCACAAAACTGTAAACCATCCACTCGATATGATTAAGGGTGGCTTCTCTCCTGGCACCGAAAGCTCCTGGTGATGGCATTACACTCTGGTGGGGGCTGAATAAAAGTGATTTGAGGAGGTTTACACATCCCTGGAGAGGAAGCGAGCGCTCATTTGCATTTATAAAGCATATTGAGAGTTCTGGCAGAAAGTTATAGTGGAAGCACAATTAAATATTTACCATCACTTCTGCTCTGAGACAGTGGCATGGGGACCAGACCAGCTGGAAGGGCATGTGTTGCTGTCAGATCCAAAGATGCCTGCAGGGGACACAGCTCTGGGACTCATGCCCATTGCCGGGCTCTGCTCTTTGGGACCACTTGCAGCCCAAGGAGGGAAAGCTAGAGTACAGACAGGCAGCGAGAACATGGGCATAGGCATGCAGACCCAGGTTCCACCTCCAGCACCTTGTGGAGATGTCGCCTTGCTCATGTCCTGCAACCTCCTCCACTTCTCTGTCTGCCTGTCTGTCCATCTGTCCGTCCATCCATCCATCCATCCATCCATCCATCCATCCATCCAACCATCCATCCATCCGTCTGTCTATCTGTCTGTCTCTGCCTCTTCATCCTTAGAATGGGAATGGTACTAGCTAGTACACAGGGTTACAGGGCAAAGGAGGCTTAGTACAATAAACCACTGCAACAAATGCTGCATTACCATTATGTATAATGATTTGATCAGTGTAAGCTTCAGGTGCTTTTCTGTGTGTAACAGCTTGTGTCTAGATGTCCCCCCAAAGCCTCATGCAGTCATAGGTGCTTTTCAGAGGTGGCTAGATCAAAGATATGTGATGCTAGGATTAATTACTAAATTAGTCCAGTGATTGGTGTAGCACAGTCTTGAGTGCGCATCATGGGAAGAGCCCCCCACATGGGATGCCCCACTCAAAAGGGCAGGCAGCCTGGATGAAATATGAAGCCAGACTTGCTGCTGCTGCTGCTGCTGCTGCTGCTGCTGCTGCTGCTGCTGCTGCTGCTGCTGCTGCTGCTGCTGCTGCTTTGCTACTTGGCTGCATTATTGCCTTCTGCCTGCCATGAACTGTACTGCTCTGCAATGCCCCTCTGCCCCAGCTCCTTGCCTCAGAGCCAGCTAACGAGGGACTGAAAGGCCTATGAACTGTGAGCTGGAATAAACCTTACCTCCTTGAACTTTGGGTTTCAGGTCTTATGTCTCAGTAATGAAAAAAGTAACTAAGACAACATGAAAAGAATATGACAGCCCAGAATCTAACTTACACCTGTCATTCCAGCACTCTGGGGAGTGGAGGCAGAAGAACTACATAGTTGGAGCCCAGCCTGGGCAGTTTAGTGACTTAACCAGAGCCTGTCTCAAAATAAAAGTTGAAAAGTATGTAGTTCAATGCAAAGGCCCTGAGTTCAAACCTCAGTACAAAACAAAATAAAACACACTATCCTAATGATATTAGATATCTAACCTGTCTTTTCCTCACACTGTCCAATAGGTAAAGGGAATAATACCTGTAAAGCTACAGCAGTGAATAAATTCAGACTCTACCTCAGAGGAATCCATGCTTAGTCAAAGGAGGGACAACAAGCAAAGTCACACCTGGTACCTCATGCCCATCAGGTCAGTGAGAAGGTGACTAGCACCACAAAGAACTGGTCAGAGGTCTTCTGTTTGTGGGGAATAAGTCAGCCTTCCTCTGAAAAGAGGAGGGCAGCTGTGGAGAAGAAAGAATGAAGAATCTCACTTGTCACTTGGGCAGGGATGGAAGATCCCCAGGGCAACAAGGGGAGTTGCAGAGGTAGACTGGAGGGCTTGAAGTCAAAGCCACCCCAGATAGACAAGAAGGTGAACTTTGGGTTTCGGGTCTTATATCTCAGTAATGAGAAAGGTAGCTAAGACAACATGAAAAGAACATGACAGCCTGGAATGTAACTTACACCTGTCATTCCATCACTCTGGGAGGTGGAGGCAGGAGAAAGACAGGGAGTAAGAGGGGAGACAGATGGGGTCTGGTAAGAGCCAGCTTGACTGGCAGGAACACCTCAAGGACAATACGTGAGGGACACAGCAGAGAGTGTTCTGCAGAGGTTCCAATAGGGAAACCCTCACATTGCACCCACCTACAAGAGGGGGC